CCCTAAGCCCTGAGCCCTGAACCCTTAACCCTAAACCCCAACGGATAGAACCCTCATCTTCCAAGTCTTAAGAGGATACCGCTCCTGCTGAGGGCCCCAAGAACCCCCCAAAGAAAAACCCTTCGCCGTATTTAAAATGGGAGTTTCCGAAAACAAGGGTATCTTATTATGGGGTCCTTATAATGAGGATCCTACTATTCAGGGTACTATATTAGGATTCCCTAATTTTCGGAAACCCCCATGGCATTTTGTACCTGGGGTTGCGGACTGGCTTCGGACCTTGTATCAACTTGCCCTGCAGGGCCTAACACCCTACTAAGCCCGATTAGCTACTTCAACTCCCGTGATGCTGATAACTACAAGCTTCGCATTAGCTACATCAATCCCATAATCTCGCGGCCTTGGAAACAGGGTTGGGATACATTGTAGTTATCCCATCATATAAGGGCCTTAATAACTAGAATTGGGTTTTGGGGCCTACTATACTATATCTACAATACGGAACCCCCAAAACAGTATTGGTAATGATTTAGGCCCCTATATTACTCCCTCCAAACCCTAAACCCTACAGACCAACCCTGGGCTGCCTCTGAGCTCCCCGGCCCGGCTAAGATGTCACCAAAGTTGCCCGTGGGCACGCTGAAGCTAATCTCCCCGTCGCAGTTCGGAAAGAGCCTCTAAGGCTTATGACATCATGGAACACAACATAACATAGTTTTTATTTGATAAAATATCATATAACATGCGGTTTGTAACATCCTGAGACATCATAAAACGTAACAGCACACAGTATAACAAAGTGTAACCGCTTAATCTCAAGAGATCGCTCCATGGTCCGAAGAACAGCTGTGGGGCAGTAGATGACACTTTAAGCTCTAAACCCTAAACTGAAAACCCTAGACCCTAAACTCCAAACCTTAAACATCCAAACCCTAAACCCTAAACTCCAAACCCTAAACCCCAAACCCTAAACCCTACACTCTAAATCCTAAACCCTGAACTCCAAACCCTAAACCCTACACTCTAAACCCTAAACCCTGAACTCCAAACCCTGAACCCTACACTCTAAACCTTAAACCCTAAGCCCTAAGGCCCATAGGGCTCCAAAGGAGAAGTGCAGATTCCGTCAGGGTCGAAACCCTAAACCCTAAACCCTAAGGGTTTAGGGGTTTAGGGGTTTGAGGGTTTAGGGTTTAGGGTTTAACGTTGTTTGTGGTGGTGGTAACATGAGTAGTGGAAGCAGAAGAAGAAGATAAGATTTCGCAAGGGTCGTACCGTGCCACTGCGATGGTGGTCTGCTGCAATCTCCGCATGCTGGAGATTCTTTAGGCTGCACAGCAAAAAGATTAGAGCGCTTATGGCTTGTCACAAGCGCCTTCCTGAGAGTGGACCCTATAACAATCTCTATGAAACCCCTCATAGTAGTCCCTATATTCCCCCCTCCACTACTCGCCCCTCCTCTCCCTCAAGCACCGGTAGGTAGCCCCAGCAAGATTTCAGAAGAAGCGAGTACAGTCGATTGCCGTTCGAAGCTGGCGAACTGGGCCGTGGGCTTGTAGTAGGTGTAGAAGTAGTACCTCGCTTTAGGGTTTATAGTTTAGGGTTTAGGGTTTAGGGTTTAGGGTTTAGGGGTTTGGGGTTTAGGGGTTTGGGCTTTAGGGTTCAGGGTTTAGGATTTCAGCTGACGACGTAGTTCAAAGCGACTACGAGGCCTCAGCGCCGGAGAGCGAGAATCAGTTCAAAGACCCCGGGGATGATGATCTCTAACCCTGCAGGTACCTACTATATAGGGCCCCAAGGGGCTCTAGTACCCTCTATTTGTAGGTATTTGGGGGGGTTAGGGGATGCCAGCGGAAGCAGCATGAGGCAGAACCAGAGAATCGTTTTCTGTCACGAAGTGGGCAATGTAACATAGTTCTGTCGAGACCAGTGAAGCACATCGCGTCCCAGTCGAGCATGCCCGGTAGCAGTCTCGTAACTTGCTCAGAAAACTCCCCCTCAACCCTGAACCCTAAACCCCTAAATCTTAAACGCTATGTAGCGCGATGGGGCACGTGATTTGAAACATGATGCGGGCCCAGTTGATGGAGTTCACGGCCCCGAGACCATACTCCTTCTTGAAACTGAGGTCGGCAAAGAGGTCCTGCGCAGAATGTGAGTGGATCGGGTAATATTATTCTCTTGTAGTTTTGTTAGTATAGCCTTATGACTGTATGAAGAGCCTTTGACATAAAGACATAAAGGGTGAAAGCTCTGAGTGCGATGCATAGCTTGCCGTCCGTTTTGTCGGGGTTGCTCCGGAATACTGTACAATCCGTGCCCTTAAGCAGGACAAACGGCGAGCTGTACATACTTTGGAGCCGATAGGGCTCCTGGGATCACCAGCAAATCACAGCTGGTGGGGATTGAATACGGTCACAGCCTCTGGCCTCCAGAAGAGGTTCCAGTAGGGGTTTTGAGACCGCGATAGCACGTGGATGCCTTGAGCAGTCCATGTGAAGATGATCCTGCAGGTTCGTTCCCTTTTCCCCAAGGGCTTGCAAATACAAGGGCCGTGAACTTCCCGAGCGCCCCTCAGACATCTCCCCGCGACAAGAGCCCGGGGCATCGACAATGACCAACCTTGCGCGTGGAATCCCCTCACGCTCTCCCCAAAGCAAGAAGTCGGAATCTGCATCGAAGGTGTATTCGTTGCTGTCGTCCAATCCTCGCTCTGATGCATGAGAGAAGCTCCAAAAAGGTCCGAGTCCCTCTCGGATTCGCTTAGATTGATCCATTGTCTCGCCATCCCCCTGGCCACATTGGAACTTACCATCTTCCTGGCCCCTATTGATCCTCGACTCCACCACCATAATGGCGAAAGCAACGAGATTTGCGACGTTGGCCTTCTCGACGTCACTGCCGTCCTCCAAGGGCGTAAGCAGCTTGAATGCTGGTGTTCCATAGAAGGGCATGCGCATTAAGAGTTGTTCCTTTGACATGGGCTTCGCACATATACAAATGACATGTGCTAATGTCATATCGCAACCGAATAAAGCTGCATAATTCTATACGCATGTAGGCGCGTCGGGGTGCAGCCCTCCACCTGAACCCCTAAACCCTTGACCCTTTAAGGGCCTCTGGAACCACATCCGGCTCCGTGGTCACGAGGTCATTGAACAGATCCCATGCAAAGACCTCGTCCTCGTCTGCATCTTCGAAGTCCTTCTATCATCAGGATTTAGGGTTTAGGAGTTTAGGGGTTTAGGGTTTAGGGTTTAGGGGTTTGCGGTTTAGGGCCTAGTTTTAAGGGTTTCAGACCCAGAAGAACACAAAAGAGTACACCGAATTGCCACCGAAGGCCGACAGTGGAAGCTGAAACGCTGAAGTCACAGAACCTTGCCCGAAACATAATGCTCTATTCAGTCCCACGAAAACCCGAGGTTTGTCCTCGGGTCTCAGGAAGAAGCTTAACTCGGTGAAGTAGTCCGCCTTTTCCCGGCGAAAGTTTCGCAGGCCGAAGTTCCTGGGAAAGATGTTGCCTCGGCACAAGGGTTCAGGGTTTAGGCTAAAGCCTAGAGGTTTCAGAGGTTGGGGTTCAGGGTTCCGAGAAGAGCCTAAACTCCAAACCCTGATATTTTGCGGGACGTGCAACTACGAAGGTTCGACGCTGACAAGATTCAGTCAGGATTCGCGATTCAGTGTCTAGGGATTTATTTTGGGTTTGGCTCCAAAAGCCGTGCTTGTTGCTACCATCATGAGCTATGCCGGCAAGGCTCACGAGCCTTACGTTGACCACTCGTCCAGCTCTTCATCCGAGTGCGACTGTACTGGAACCACCGATACTGCAGTTGCTATAGTAATTATAATACTTCATAATCTGATATCATGAAAAAACATGATACGATAGAATATACTATAGTAATAGCATAATATCATCTGGTATACTTCATTCAATATATAATATATCAAAATATCAATATAGTATGCAATATCTCGCATTCAAAGCATTTCTGTTGCTTCCGGTGATCCCAACACGAGATCCTAGATGGCGAAGCCTGGAGCCTAACCCCCAAACCCGGCATCCTAAACCCGAGCCTACGTAACCCAAACCATGGTTTAGGGCTTAGGGTCTAGGGTTCAGGGTTTAGGGTTCATGAACCGCAAATGCTAATTGAATGACCCAAAACCCCGAGCCCAAACCTCTACACCCTCAGCCCTACATTCAAACCCTAACCGGAAACCCTGAACCCGATACTATCCACCCCTGCACCTCGGAACCAAACCATCCTGCTGCACGCGTAAAACCACCCAAAGCGCCCAAAAAACCTGAACCCTGGAAGGAATCCGTAAGGAAACCCAAAAAACGATTAGCTTCAACCCGTGGAATAGCCTGAAAAATACCTAAACCCATAAAGGAAGCCTGCGAGAACCCTAAAGCCTGAACCCTATAACCCCCAACCCTTAATCCGGTGACCTCAAACTCCGAACCCTAAAACCCCATAACCCTTAACCCCATAACCTCAAACTCTGCACCTATAACCCTACAGTCCCATAACCTCTCACCCGGTAACCTCAAACCAGGAACCCTATACCCCTACAGCCCCATACCCTAAACCCGGTAACTTCAAACCATGAACGATAACCTCAAACGCTGATTCCTATAACACCATAACCCCATAACCCTACAACCCTAAACCCCATAACCCTATAACACCATAACCCTATACCCTCAAACTCTGAACCCTATAACCTCATAACCCCATAACCCATAACCCTATAACCTCAAACGCTGAACCCTATAACCCCATAACCCCATAACCCTTAACCCTATGGCCTCAAACTCTGAACCCTGTAGCCCCATAACGCCATAACCCATAACCCTGTAACCCCAAACTCTGAACCCCATTACACCACAACCCCATAACACTGTAACCCTATAACCTCAAACTCTGAACCCTATAACCCCATGGCCCTACGACCCTAAACCCTAAAACCCTATAACCCCGTTACGCTGTAACCTCAAACTCTAAACCCCAAAACCCCATAACCCCATAACCCGGTAATGTCAAACTCTGAACCCTGTAACCCCATAACCCATAACCCGGCAATCTCAAACTCTGAACCCTATAACCCCATAACCATGAACCCTATAGCCCCTAAACCCCATAGACCCCTGAACCCTATAACCCCATAACCCCACGTGACCCCAGGACCCTGAATCCTAAACCCTATAACCCCAAACCCTAAACCCTGAAAGCTAAACCCTAAAACCATGACCCCAAAACGGTAAACCCTAAACCCTATAACCATGACCCCATAACGGTAAACCCTATAACCCCTAAACCCTTAACCCTACACCCTAAACCCTATAA